GAAAGCAGCAACTGCTCAGCTGACCGAAGGGAACGAGTGGGGACGTGGGGCTTCAACAAGTCAGACAAATAAACAGGTGCCAGACCATTTAGAGATTTAAAAGCCAATAAAAGGATTTAAAACGGATCCTGAATTCAATTGGAAGCCAGTGTAAAGAGGCCAAAATCGGAGTGATGTGATCAAATTTTCTTCTACCAGTTAAAAATCGTGCCGCAGCATTTTGCACTAATTGCAGGCGTGACAAGTGCCCTGCCCAACCCCTGTTAAAAGAGAATTACAATAATCTAAACGTGAGGTAATAAAGGCATGAATAACGCTTTCCAAGTCACGCTTGGAAAGAAAGGGCTTAACCTTCGATAAACGTCTGAGGTGATAAAATGCTGATTGTACAGAAGTGCAGAATCAATTTTAACTCCGAGATTTGTGATCGAACTCTTTAGTTGGGAAGTCAAAGCTGCAAGATCAACATCCAGAGTATGAGAAGAACGATTTGGGCCAAATAAAATTGCTTCAGTCTTCCGATCATTAAAATTTAAAAAGTTGTTTGCCATCCATGCTTTGACATCAGTAAGGCAGTCAAGCAGAGGTCCAGTTGGGAGACTATCAGAATGACTAAGAGGTAAGTAGAGCTGGCAGTCATCTGCGTGTAGATGGAATGGCACTTTATGCTTTCGGAAAATCGCGCCAAGAGGCAAGAGGTACAGTGAAAACAATAACGGCCCAAGAATAGATCCCTGTGGCACACCCCAAAGCAGAGGGGCCACAGAGGATGAAGCCGACCCCAACTTAACACAAAAGGTTCTATTTAAAAGATAGGACTTTAACCACAAAAGTGCCGAACCAGTAATTCCCACACTGTGCTGTAAGCGGGAGGTCAGCAAATCGTGATCCACTGTGTCAAATGCAGCGGTCATGTCCAACAAGACCAGCACTGCATATTTACCACGGTCTGTCGCTATCAGGATGTCATTCATAACTTTTACGAGGGCGGTCTCCGTGCTGTGGAATGGCTTAAAGCCGGACTGAAAGATTTCTGACAATTTAGAGTCATTCAAGTAGTCCATCAACTGAGTATAAACAATCCTTTCCAGAATCTTACTAAGAAAGGGAAGCTTAGAGATGGGTCTGAAATTTGACATGACTGAACTGTCTAAGCCCGGTTTCTTAAGTAAAGGATGTATGACTGCTTAAATTCCCTAGGTACTTGACCAGACAAAAGACTAGTATTAATAATGTTCAGAATGTGTGGTCCGATGATAGGAAATACCTTTTTAAGAAAACGGGGAGGAACAACGTCATTTGGTGTCACGGTTCTGGGTCCGTTGGACCCAGTATTTTGAGTTTATTGTGTTTTGATTTAAGTTTGCATCAGGGATTGTTTACTTGTTCTCTTGTCGTGTTATGGTAATGTTTATGTCTATTATTAGAGTTCCATGTTCTGTTTATCTGGGTTTAAGATGTGGGTTTAGTTTCATGTGTCATTTCAAGTCTGTCTCTGTCTAGTCTGTGTCTTAGTAAAGTGTGTTTTGTTTCCTGTTTTATTGTGAAGGTCTGCGTCTCATGTGAGTGTGTTCAGTTTTACCTTTGTCTCGTCTTGTTGATTATTCCCAGCTGTGTGTAATTCCCCTGTGGTTCTCTGTGTATTTAAGTCATGTCTTCAGTCATTGTTGTTGCTGGTCCGTCTGTGTATTCCACCCTGCGTCATCTGTGTATCTACCATGTCACATCCGTGTGCTCTCCCTGCTGTCCATCGTCATTCTCCTCTGCTCGTTCTCATTCAGGTTTGTGCTCTGTAGTTTAGTTGTTTCCCAGTATAGTTTAGTTCCAGCTCCATTTGCCGTTTGTATTTACTTTCATGTTCAATAAACCACCTTTACACCTTCACGACTGCCTGCACTTGGATCCTCCTTCATTTCCTCCACACGGCTCACCTCACTCGCCGTGACATTTGGAGAGCCACACGGTTTAGCATTCAACACAAGTTTCTCTAAATCAGATAAAACAATTGGTAGAAAAGCAGAGAACAGACTTGAGCAAGAACCATGCATGGCTGGGTCAGCAATAGGTAGAGTCAGAGGTCTCAAACTAGCAACCTTTTCCACAAAATAATTAAGAAACTTATTGCACATAACTGCAGAAGAGTGCAAAAGAATATAGCCTTCCGGATTAAGTACAGAAATTATAGAGTTATATAGAACACGAGGGTTATGCGAGCTGGCAGCAATAAGTTGGGAAAAATAGGAGTGCTTGGCAGCCTTTACTGCTCTCTGATAGACTTTCCAGCTAGTCTTAAGAGCTTCCATAGAGACGCACAGCCTATCTTTTTTCCACCGTCTTTCACATCTTCTACATTCTTTTCTAGCGGCTCTGGTAAAATCAGTTAGCCAAGGACTAGCCTTTGGCTTGAAGTCTGTGGTTGCAACTGACGTTTCTTGTGATGAATCAGCCAGTAAACTCCAATGACGACCTGGCTCCACTTCCTCTCATTGTACAAAAACAAAGCCTAAGTCTCCTGTGTGTGGCGCTGTTAGGTCATCCATGTTTTCATAAACCTTTTTCCAAGACTTTCCATGGCCCAATCCATTGGGCCCTCAGTGTGGGGAAGCATCCCTGTATGGAACTGACCTCCCGGCCCAGTGTTCATTCAGTGCTGCTAGTTTCAGTCACTGTGCACATGTCCTGATTCTAAGGTTGGAAACCTGCAGTCAGCTGAGACGGAAGAAGTCACCTGATGATGACGAAACGTTTCTCCCACTGAAACGTCCACATGAACAGAATCAACCTTTGGATTTTCTTACCTGGATGATCGAGCATCAAGACGTCTCCTAGTTCTGTCCAACACAACCTGAATAAATCAGAGTGCAGCACTTCGGTCATTTCTCTACAACAAATAGACCAACAGGTAATCAGCTGTAGCTCTCAGCACTGGATCCTTCAGGCTGCGATAAGCATGACATGAAACTACATCGATGTAAAGGCACATGTGTGATGCTAACAGCACCGTGTGACTGGCAGTGGTGCTCAGGTGAAACAGGTTCTGTTGACAGGTGTGTTTCAGGATCACAGTTTGTGATGCTGTGTTTTTATACCTGTAGATGTTTCTGTAATAGTCCACCTTTGCTTTCAATGCTATCACACTCTGGTTGTTTCATTCACGCAGTCAACTTTATGATGGAGGAGTTTAGTGAGTCACCATCAGCAGATGGAGCATGTTGCAGAGCGTCACTAGAAACTGTTGAGTAAATATTGGAAGAAGGTGTGTCCAACAATAAGACTGCATTCATTTCTTACATTTATTCATACACTTGATCCTTTACTAAACAGACTGTAACGGGGAACAGTCATCGATCCTGAACAGTCACTCAGCAAAACCAATAAATAATAAGTTTAACTGACAGAACCAAATAATTTAGCTTCACTTTGAGAGATTTCTAGATTATTGTAACGATGAACGATCCTCAGGATTATCAGCCTGTGTAAAACTACAGGATGACATGCAGGCTCTGTCGGACAGGTGATGATACCTCAGAGGCAGAAACACTCATCTGTGGAAGGAGCTGGGTCTGCTGGGAGTCACGCTGGGGGCCACCGTGGGTTTGTGACTTAGAAAAGTACCAACTTCAACAACTT